CTGACAGCGATTTGAAGCTGGTAAGTGAGTTATAAGCAGGAATGTTATCCATATCTTGTGTCAACGACCTGGAATTCAAAGCGCTTCCTAATTTAGAGTGAATGCCTGTCACTTTGTCAATGAAGAACCTGCCAATACTGTTTGCGACCGCCTCAGTACAAAAAAGACCGAGGGCCGATATTCTTCCAGTACGGTCCCGAGCAAGCTTGGTTAATAAGAGATTTATCATACGACTGAAGCTTCAAGGGACACAAGAGCGGTGTCATTCGGGACCATTCGGGACAGTGCCCGGTCCAATACTTAGAGAATATTGACCGGCAATAGAGCATTTTGATTGGTTGATTTTAGTTATTGGCCCTCTGACTGCCCGAGTCGTGTAATAATATCTAGACGAAGGGCTAACGCTCGAAACGTCAGCTTTTGTAATCATTACGGTGGCCAATTTACCATTTCAACTTTGTTGATATATCCAAATTATTTCGTTACTCCCACCGACGCAGTTCCAAACAGTTTCTTTCGAAACTATCAGCCTTTAATAATATCTAGCATCGGTCGATATATCGGTCGATACATCAAACAATATATCGACCGATATTTCTGTCGGCAGACAGATGTTTCGGTGGATATGAATAGGTTCATACAATGCGGCGAATACACACCAACACCATACAAGGTTGACAGTAGATCTCTAAATCTGCCGACATGCCGATATAGTAGTGCACATCAGGGATACCTCACCGACTATCGGTCGTTTGTGAGGAAAGAAAACGCGAGAAACCCCAATGGCCCGCAGCAATTGATTAACGCTTTTAACTTTTTTTGTGTGGAAAATTAACAAAATAAAATAGAAAAAACAATCTCTCATTTTCGTTTATTTTTTACTCTTCAGCAAACTTAATTAACACACAAACAACGAGATAATGTACTATCAATCTTAATGCTTACTTATTGCTTATAATTTTTCGTAGCAATCTGATGGTCATCATGCTTAGAAAAGGCATAAACAATAAGATTATGCTGATTTTGTTGTACGTTTTGCTGTTGTGTTGACCTATGGCACCCTCTCAACGCAATAAAGGAAATAGAGAGGATAAATTTATTTTTACTAGACAATAATGTATGACAATTGCAACTGATTCCGGCAAGTGAATCAGTGATCTGGTGAACTACTTCATAACCTAGAACTGCTCTTTGAAAACTGAACATCTTGTTGCTTGAAAGTTGAAAGGTGCCTGGTCCTTTGATTTGAAATTTAGAACTGGGCCATAAATCCTATTACTTTCAGCTGGAAATTTAGATATACGAAAAAAGAAGTTTTTTACTTATTGTCCATCTGATCACGTTGATTTGTAACGATTCCAAGGAAATGAGCGGCTCATTTCGTTAAATTTGTTACAAATCAACGTGATCAGATGGAAAATAATGATACTTTCCAGTTGGGCTACATATGAACAGAAATTAACGGTGCTAGTTCATGCTAAGAAGTTGTTTTATAATGGAAACAATATTTGAAATTTGCCAGAAACCGATTATGTCACTGGACGGGACAGTTAATTTGTTAGTAAGTAGGATATAAGAAAAGAAAAGTAAAAAAAAAGTTTTCCAAGGAACGATTTACGTATTTCCCGTCTAAACATAAATTAATTTTAAGCTGATGTCTAGGGTAAGAGACAAACAACAGGCATGACCACGTGACAATTTTGTTCTTCGTTGTCTTTAACGTAAAGAGGATTAGGTTTCACGATGATGGAAAACGTGACTGGGATTTTTTGTTGTGATGCATCAGTCGTGTGCTATCATATTATTTTCTTTTCAACATTTAACATTTGCCTCGTGTTAACTATTTACGGAAAATGTTGGGAAAAAATGTCAGCGAAAAGTGCTTTTTAAATTAACATTGTAACGCAGATTATCACAATATAGTGGACATATGTACGCGAAGCAGCTAAGCAGCATTTTTTCGTTTGACGTAAACATCCAACTCAACCAGTCTAACATTAACGAAACCCAAAGCAAATGTTACAGCTTATTTGATCTAAAGTGCTATGTGGTAAAGAACGCAAGAAACTACCGGTTTTCAGCTCATCTCAACTAATCTTTTGTATTGTAAAAATCCTCTTCGGGGTAGAAAGGCAGCCGTTTGCCTTCTCCTTTCGTCTTATTAGCTTGAGCCCGATACTCTTTCAAGGCTAACCGACAACGCTTTTCAATGCATTAAACCGACGCTTTTTCGCTTTTTCCCGATTCCTGCTGTACAACTGTTTTGTACTTGTCAGGGTCAATTATCTTTAACTCACATATTCCTATGTAGTCTCTTAAAGTGTTCCTAGGCACACCATATTCCCTCATTGCCTTGGCAAGGGAGCACTTTTTTTTGGCAAGAAGTTCAGGACACTCTCATGCCTTTGTGGACGCCACTAAAGTTGAGGCCTGTAATTAGTCCTTAGAAACAGAATGACATTAAATTAGTGGTGCTGGCTTGCTACAGTCTTGAGGGGTTACGGACCTAAGAAGGGCCCGATTTTTAAACTCTTTAGTACACTCCAAATACGATATTCTACGACTAAAACCTCACGGATATGCGACATTTGCGACAATACAGAGGTCAATAAATAGCCAAACTAAACTGCTGAGTGTTCAAGGGGACTGGGCCCTAACAGTCCTAACAGTTTCAACAGCTTTTAACTCAAAATCTGCAGTATGACCCAACTTTTGTTCCGATTAAACATCTGTAGGAGAACGTTTTTCCTTTTCAAAAATACCCGCGGTCTTACATTCTTTTAATAATATTTGGCCGTGGATGTGTTTCTCCCCTATAAATTAAACAGGTTTTTGAAACCGCTGACGGGAGCAATATGCATGCCCTTTATTTGAGCGCGCTACTTTTACGTGAAGCCAAGCCATTTTGCGCGCGATGAAAAGTGGAAAAATTAACACTCTTTTGCGCGTTGTTTATCTTTCCGTACGTACACTTTAACGATTTTAAACTGTCACCCGCGGGTACCGCTACGCAATCTCTTTTTTTTTTTAACAATGTCTTCGGAAATACAACGAACTCACATTTAGCAATTATGCAAAAGTTGTGCACAAGAACAGATTCTTTTACATACCTCTAGACCTTTTTGGGGCAGGTTCCTTGATCTCTTCGACACTATTATCACTCTGGCGGTCTTTATTCTCGCTATCACGTCGAGCCACACTATCCTTATTTTACTTTAAGGCAGTTTGCACACGCTGGTTTTTGCCCACTACATCTGCAGAATATAAAATAACCCTTAAGTTTTTTCGGGGACCAACTGAGGGTCGTAGTGGACGCAATCCTTGTTTAAACGTTAACACAGAAATGTAACCATGCATTTAGTCGTTTAAAAGCGCATAAACACCACAAAAATAGAAGATGGTAAACTTGTGGTATATTGCCACTCCCGTTGGCACACGAAATACAAAGATTGACGAGTAGCGTTTTTGAAGTAGTCATATGTCTGTATTCAATCTAAAGACTACTTATTTTTCATCTGCCCCATTCTATAGTTATTTAAGTCAAACCTACACATAGTTTTAAGATTACTGGAGACCTTCAAGGGTGCCTTCCGGGAAAATATTCTTTGCGCGCCACTTTAAAGAAAACCACGGTAACATATCTATCATTCAAAAGCTAATAAACTGTAAAATCCCTAAATATCAATACATTTTAATATTTTTGTTTTGATAGGCATTTGCCAGCCTTAAAGCGCAAAGCTAACCGGGCAAGGGGAAAAGAGAAATGATAGAGGAGTAGCCTTTGAACAGGCCTAGTCGGAGCCCAGCGTTTGGATAACTGTACAGGGGCGGATCTAGGGGGAGGGTGCAGGGGGTGCGCACCCCTCGCTGACATGACCTGCGGCTTTCTAATACAACTGGTGTTTACGTCCAGTCACCAGTCAGTTTTGCCATTCTTTAGTGGTGCACCCCCTCCTAGAAAAAAATCGTGGATCCACCCCTGACTATACATTAAAACTAAACGCGCGATTCACGCTTCGTCCGGTTTTTTTTTACTAGAAAATAAGGATAAAAAACAGTCTTTGAAGCAGAGGAAAGTAGTGTCTGAGACATGGCTGCCATGTCAGATATCAGCGATTAAATTCGCCAGCAATTCCGCGGCAATCCAATTCGGTTTGTTTGCCGGAAGAAGGCAGCGACAAAATTTGCTTGTGATTTGCGCTCGAGTTTGAATTTGGGCACGCGAAGATCGCACAAAATCGCCTCGTGTAGCGTTGCCTTAAGAGACTCACATAATCGACAAAAGCGAAGATTTGCAAAACGCAAGGTGTAAACAGCAGAAGCCCAAAAGTAGTCCGCGGTGGGATTGCCGCGAAATTTTTTACGGTTCAACTCAATGGCTGACACATTCTAATTGGCTTAAAACAGTTTGCGGATAGTGGACTTGTTTGACAAATTCGCGTTTTTGTGGATAACTCGTACGGGTATTAAGTTTTTGAAATATTTGTTTCTGAAATATGCAGATAAAGTAGTGGTCTTGAATTTGGCTTGGAAATAATATTACGAAAAACACCGCCCCTTAAAGGTCTAGAGCAACCGTAACTCCTGCACACGTTGTCTACCTGATAGTAACAAACCCGATAGTAACAGCTCTTAAATAGGGGACATTTCATTTAGATAATTGAATTCTATAAAGGAAAAAGGGTTTCTACCTTCAAGCTCCTGAATGCGCCTTTGCATTGCAGCCAACGTTTCTTGGTAGCCCCGTTCGCGTTTTTTGTTTAGCTCTTCAGACCGCCTGATTTGGACAGTGGCTGCTGCAAGATCGTTTTTAATATCCTGATATTTCGAACCCTTCTTGTCCTTCTTGGTTTCCTTTGAACTGTAAATCTAAACAGAAATAACTCAAGTGGGAAAAGAGCGTCAAATCAGACAAGTAGAAATCGTGTGTAGAAATTGTGCGCAAGCGAGGGGCGCGAGAGCGACTATGAAGTGGGCAAAATGAAAAAAAACAGCAACAAAAGGCGTCGTAAAAAAAATCAAAAGGCGTCGTTTCAATTTACCATACGCCAGCCCTTTTAAAGTAAAGGAAGTGGGGCTTACCCGTTTTCAGTGCCTGCTTTTCCTTTAGAGGATGAAGTCTTTGCACTCCCTGCACTTCTTTTCTTCTCTGGAGTCTGTGATGCCAGAACACCACTTACAATACTATTGTTGAGGCAGTCGCAACGATTTACCGCTTCGCCACAGAATTTACATCTGTTCGGACATCGTTGAACAATATCCCCTGTAATTAAGGTCGAAATAATCCAGCACAATTCTTTGTGTATAATGGAAGTATACGTTGCCTCCTTGCTTTTAGTGCACCGATAAAGTGTCGATATCGGCAGGTATTTAATATGCGTAAAAAAATTAAGGTTTGAACCCTATCAGAAACTAGCTCATTTTTTCACCTTTTCAGACAACCATCCCACGCTTGTCACACACTATCGTAAACTGCCGCTTATAAGCTTCGTAAATGGTTTTTGATGGAGGCTTATAAATGGGAGGGGGGAGGGGCGTATATAATAAAAAAAGTTTCGAATTGAGCTACGGCAGTGTTGCTCAAAATGCGTTTTTATTTTCTAGTTTTAATTAAGGACGTTCGCGACCAAAATGTTCCCACGTTCAGATTGTTTTAAAACTTGTCATGCAGTAAGGTAAAGATCAATTCAACTTTTGGCGAGAAGGAAAAACAAGGAGTGTCATCTTGCTCGTTTCCGAGAAAAGACGCATTGAAGCCCATGCGTTGATAGAAGCTTTCGTTATTTTGAGACTGTCCTAAATGCTTTGCCACCAGGAATTTAATTGGTTTCCGCCAGTGTTGCTTCTCATGATTACTTATAAACTATTATACTTACGCATAAATTATATATATTTTAACAATTTGCATATTTCATAGAGATATTTTTAAGACATATTAAATTAGTCTTGTATTACCAATATTTTTTTTTTCCTTCGGACTTTCACCTAGTTGGAACTTGCTCTGTTGTGATTGTTCCGTTGCTTCTCGCTTTTCGTTTTACTATTGAGCTTAATATTTATCCTTGTTATTTTTTTTATTTTTATTTTTTAACTCAGTGGAAGCTTAATAAATAAATAAATTTAATAAATAAATGTCAGCTTACAACTATCAGCAATTAAAGAAACTACAGTAGTGGAATTTAGATTGAACCACTTATTCCGGTGATCACCAACATAATTAACAGCTCGTTGGAATCGGGTATTTTTCCTGACAGCTGGAAAAAGGCCGTGGTTATACCACTGTTAAAGAAAGTGGGACTTGAATCTCTCTTTAAGAACTTGCGTCCTGTAAGCATCTTGGCTTATATTCCCAGGTTCACTGAGCGCGCAGTATTCAATCAGACACACACCACCTTGTTCGGTCTAGTCTCTATCGGCTATTGCAATCTGCATATCGCCGGTATCACAGTACGGAAACAGCATCGGTCAAAGTTGCTAATGATATTCTATTGAATATGAACTCGCAGCGTGCTACACTGCTTGTCCTCTTAGACTTAAGTGCTGCCTTCGATTTTGCTTAAACGCTTGTCCACTGATTTTGGTATAGGCGGGAAGGCTTTAGAGTGGTTCTCGTCGTATTTGTCGGGACGTAGCCAGCGTGATTTGTTTGAGGGGGCTACATCTGATAGCTTCGATCTGCGTTTTGGTGTTCCACAAGGCAGCTGTCTCGGCCAGCTTCTTTTTGTGGTTTATGCCTTCAAGCTCTTTGAGATAGTACAAGTCCACCTGCCGAATGCGCACGTCTTTTAATCCTAACAGTCCTACGGATCAAGCAAAGGCATTGGAAGCCAGGGAGCATGCATTAGTGACTTACGTAAATGGATGTACCGCGAAAAATTAAAGATTAACGATGATAAGACTGAATTTCTTGTTATTGGATCGAGCCAACAGTTGCTGAAAATTGATCACTGTTCAGTCCGTGTTGGCATGATCGATATTAAACCTGTCTAAGTAGTGCGCAATCTGGGTGCCTGGTTGGACTCGAATTTTTCTATGTCGACCCACATTTCTAAGTCTTGTAGTGCGGCATTTTTGTCGTTACATAAAATCAAGAGAATAAGCTACTTTCTGCCTAGAGAAAAATTAGAAAGGGTGTTGCATGCCTTTGTTACAAGTAGACCTGATTACTGTAATGGATTTCTCTATGGGCTACGGGACTGTGAATTAGCTAAATTGCAAAGAGCACAAAACGCTGCAGCCAGGCTACTTGTGTCATGTAAAAAGAATGACCACATTACGCCTGTTTTGATAAATTTATAATGATAATTGAACTGAGTGGAGTGCAATTTGGGCTGAAATCAGANTTAAGTGGATCGTGTATTTTTTATACTACCTTGCAATTACAGATTTCAAGACAATTGCCCCGAGGCAGCGGCGTCTGCAAACGAGTTTGGAGACGTGGCACAGTGTGACAGTGACAGAGAGATTGAAGAATTCAACGAGAGACTGAAATCTTAAGCGACTGCCTGTCTGCTGCAGAGCAATGCTGTGAAACCGAATCTAACATTACCAATCACGACACGATCACGAGTTGAGCGCTTTCTGAAATACATTAAAACGACTGTCAACAATATATATAGGGTAAGGCGACAATTCTTTCTCATGTGTAAGTTTATTTTCCGTGAACCGTGAAACTCGAAAATCAATTATCGTGTTTCGTGATTTGCGTTTTTTAATTGCCTTGAACTGTGCGCGTGACCCCCCCTTACGGCCCCTCTCGAAAGGAAATGTGAATAGGCAATAAGGTTCTAGTAGCCAATCAGAATACAGGATTCGCTTCTTGCTCGCGTGCGCTACCAGCCATATAATAAATTGAGTTATTTGGGTCCGGCTTGCCAAGCGAAAGTGCTTCTGTTTTCTCCTTTCTTACCTAAAAATTACCAGAAGTTTCCAACTCAGAATCTTAAATTATATAACTTTCACTGATTCTCGTCCAGCCAGAATAGGTTATGTTCAAGATGACTCTTGCACATTTTGTAGAGTTAGCTCAGAAACTGTCAATCATCTATTTTATGAAGGTTCACATACTAACCAGTATTGGGAATATTTCAAACATTTTCGGTTTGCACTTTCTGGTAAACGTGTTGAAATTTCCTTGCAGGATGTTTGATAGGCAAGTCTAGACGAGTCGTAAACGAAATCTCAGCCCAAACATTATTGTTTTTAAAGAGATGATGAATATTAGATCATAAGACTGAAAAGTTCATAACAACACGCAAAGGAAATTTCAGGCCAGACGGAAATTATTTATTGATGGTAGATTATCATCTGTTATACGATAGATCAAATAAAGATATTATTATCATTGTTTGTACCTAACCTAATTATGTTAGTGACAAGAATAGCGCCGTACTTTGTTATTAAGAGTGGAAAAAAGCCCTAATCATTATCCTCGTTTCTAACAACAACAAGTAAACAAAAGATTTCGAGTTTACAAGAGCATACCGACCCAAATTTCGGTTTTTCTGTGCTTTAACCACAGATCCTTTCAAAGGACTGACGTCCGGAATAGGAGCTGAGAATTCCGTAATAGTAACACTCCAGTTATGTCTCCTGTGGAAAAAGGAGTAGAGTGAACCACTTTTTTAAGCTAGCTTCTGACTGGTATGTTCTCCGGAACAGGAAGAAAAGTCCATAAACCCATCGAGTTAAATTTCCAACATTCCCTGACATATTTATTTGTAATAAGCAACGATAGCGGAAAAATAAAGCATTGCCAGTGTGAGATGAGAGCAATTGTAGTGTATTGCGTTACATAAGGTCACATAGCCTAACTACTGTAAGTAATTTCCAATCATGCCGTAGATTACTATCCTAAGTAAGCGTAAAATAACTGATCACGAGTATTGTAGGGTAAATATGTCATCTTGATTAATGAATAAAGTACAGTTGAATTAGCGGAATGAGAGTGATCACTTGACCTACGAATACTCTACAGCAACATACCCAGGTCAACTCGTTTCAAATTACGGAGACCGGAAGAAGGATCTATTTTCGATTAACAGTCTCTCACTTCCCAGATTCGATGTTTCATTTTATTTCTGTGATAGGCGCAACTGTAGGCCCTTAGACCCTGTAATAGATAACACGGAATTTTAGCACAAACTGAACTGATTCATTCGGGTGCATGGCGTCGTTTACATTGGAAGGCTTATTTGCCTACTTGACTGAAACCTTCACTGCCGGTGTGATTCAGTCGTATCAGGGACAAGGATTTCTCGAAGACGCTCCGCTGATACAAGGAATAGATCCTTTGGAGGATTTCAAAAATTTTGATAATGCTGATAATGATACAATTTTTCAGGAGTACGCTTCACCGCCAGGAGACGACAGCAAGATGGGTTGGAAGAGATCTCGGCCGCGAAGATGGTGGATGTCGCTTTGGAAGGCCGTGAAGTGTGTGTTCTTTATTCAAATTGTCGGAGGTTTAGCTCTCGGTTTGCTGGCTCTATTGATTTTAGTTTTGGATTTTAATTCCGTTGATCTTTGCTACGATAGACAGTTACATGGTCACTGGAACTCGCTACCTAATAAGATTCAAGCCATTATCGTGTCAGCTGAGACAGTGGAAGCATATGCAAGCCAGATGTCGCCATTTCTTCTGATAATCACAATGTTTGGCTGGCCATTGGTGAAGAGACTTAATCTATTAATTCTTAATCTACTGGGAGCATTCTTCGACACCTGTTACAGGGTGTGCCTCGCAGTTTTTGGAATCTACAGGAAGTCTTGGATGTCTTTTCCTTTAAATGCTTTATTTTTTATCATGGTTCTGATGAACTCTGTCCTAGTGGGAAGAGAAATTGCTAAAAACACGGTCGGGGAACGAAGTAGAAAAGTAAGAAAAGTGCTCAGGGTTTCCTCTATACTCTCAGCGCAGTTAGCTTTTGGGATTCCTATCGCTTTCGTTCTTGTTGACGTGTTGATTCCGTTATACGGTCGGCAGGATGAGACGTACAGAGCAGTCATAGCCGGCGCACTTCCTTTGTTTACCGCTGTACCGAAGGTCATCTTGCGATTGGCGGCGCAAAGGATTGATTTTCTCCATCCGGGTGACTCTCATGTCCTACTGGGTGTTCTGTACATGACATTTGCGATCGTTTTCCGAGTCATACAAGCAGAACTGACGAGTCTTCGACTGTTCATTGCCCTGAGCTTTGTTCACGGTGCAGTGGACTTATTGGAAAGATTAACCATTGTTGTCCGGGATTATCTGTGGTATTTTATATACAAAAAGTGTAAAGGTGACGCGAATGCTGAAGAAGCGTTAGGAGCTGACAACTTTCGCACGCCCAGAGGCATGCGCTTTATTGCAGACATGAGCATTCAGATGATCCTCGGAGAATCGACTGCGTTGATAACAGCGGTCGGCTTCATCCAGCTTTATAGCTTTATGTACAGCAACAATAGTCTGGCCTTCTCTGACATGGGTTTGGTTGAGGATTTCTTCATCCGCGTGTCCATTGCGCTCACAATAGATTTCTTTTTCAATTCGTTTTCGTTTTGGTTACAAATGTCATATTTAAATGTTGCTGTAGCGCGAGTGTGGAAGAAGAAATGGCGCAAGCATATGCTCGTGGGTTTGATTTTGACTTCCGTGACACTCTGTTACTTCACAAGTCATTTGTTCTCTGTTGTGAGGGACAAGCATTCTTCTGCTGCCAAAATGCGTCATTTTAATTGCACTGGGCCATTTTCAAAATTTTAGCTCGAGAAAAACTTGGCCAGAATCATAAGGATACTTACGAGGGGTGTTGAGTAAAACTGGTGTTTTCACTTCCAATCGCTGAGAAAATTCACTTCCTATCAACTGAGAAAATATTTCGGTTTAATATATATGCGTTATTTACCAAGCGTGAGGTCAAGATGGCTGGATATTGGCCGAATTTTTTCTTTTCATTTTTATGAACCGAGACGAAGTCGAGGTCCGCAAAAATGCGAAAAAAGAACGAGGCCAAGCATCTTGACTAAACAAGCTTGGGTAATAAAGGATTTATTATATTGCAAAAGATTTCGCTTTATCAAGAATTAATAATAACTTGTTTACTTCGAGAGCCGGGAATGACAGCCAACTGCGTGGCACAACAAACTCACGAAAGTCCTTTATGTTTTCTTTCTTTCTTTTTTTTTTTTTT